TCTCCTGCCTCAGCCTTCCAAGTAGCTGGGAACATAAGCATGCACCACCATACCTGACAAATTTAATTTCCTTTTGTTTTCGAGACAGGGGGGTCCACTGGCTCCCTGGAGTGCTGGAACTAAAGGTGTGCACCATCTCCACCCAGCCTTCCCTTTGTTTTTTTAAGATTAAAAAACATTTTTATGTGTATGAGTGTTTTGCCAACATGTAAGTTGGTGCACCACTTGTGTACCTGCTGCCCAAGAAGGCCAGAACAGGACTTTAGACTCCCTAGAACTGAAGTTTCAGATGGTTATGAGCTGCTATGTGGGTGCTAGGAATAGAACCCAGGTCCTCTGAAGAGCAGTCAGTGTTTTTAATTGTAGAACCATCTCTACAGCTCTTTAAGTATCTTTCTTAACACATCTAAAACTTTAAAGAAAATCAACTTTAACATTCTAGAAAACTAAAGACTTTCTTTGACTATACAGATGCAAACAAAAGTCAGGTACCAAAGCAGAACCCAACAGCTATCATAATCCCAAAAAGCCCTTTCTCATCATAGAACACATCCCTTTCTTAAAGTGCTCACTGCCTCTGATCTAACAGCTGGAGACATAACATACAACCTGTTTACAACATCCAAGTAACTTTAAAAAGGTCTCGTTTCACACCAAACAAATGAACAATGTGATCCAGTCACAGAAGAATACATGACTGAGAAGATCTGACTGATACATGTCCCAAACTTACAGTTTCCACACAACACTTCCTCCCCCATTGACTTGCCCTTTGAACCTGCCTTCAAAACAACTGTACTGCATACCCCATTGCCACCTGTCATCCCACAGACAGGCCTAGGGCACACTTGCAACTGCTGAGGGAGTCATTTCTGTACCCGTGTTCCTCTGCAATGATTTGCTCTCCTCATTGAACTAAAAACCCACAGGGAATTCCCTGTCCACTCCACAGGAGACACCACTTGGAAAGAGGAAAACACATTCTAAGGACCACTCTCCAGATGACCTCAAACAGCCTCATCTCTACAGCACTTCCAGTTACATTCCATCTCTGATGCCTACCAGGGTCAATCAGCTGTCTAGAGCACCTCGACTCGAGCTCAAGTACAGATGAGGACACAGGCTGAAAAGGGAGACACATGTCCCCAGAAGACACCCATTCCTCCTCCCCAAAACTGTACTGAAAACAGCCTAGACCCAGACCCGCCTTCAGCCCTGTATCTCTGAAGACAGCTGCTAGCTTAGATAATGTTCTCACAAAATCCATGTCAGAAACATTTCTTAAAAGAGTACGTCCTGCTTTTCCCTGGGACCCAAATTTGCTTCCTGGCACCTATATCAGGTGGCTTATAACCACCTGTAACTCAAGCTCCAGGGGATCTCAGACCCTCTCCTGGCCTTTGAGAACAAACACAAACACATGGTATTTGTTTTACATACAAACATATATACATTTGTATACCACAGACACACACACACACACACACACACACACACACACACACACACACACACACATGTTTTGAAAAGAAACATAAAACAAGCCCTTGATTCCATCTCTCATGCGGACCTTGTCTTGCCTGCAGGGTCATCACTGGAGAAGAAAATGCATCCTGTCCCATGACAGGCAGAGCACCTAAGCACTAAAGAAATGTGGCACAGCAGGCTGAAGAGATGGCTCTGCAGTTAAGAGCATTTTTTGCTCTTGTAGAGGACAGGGGTCAGGTTCCCAGAGTACACATGGTGGCTGACAATCATCTATACTATGTTCAAGAGGACCTGACGCCCTCTTCTGGCCTCCAAGGGCACTGCACACACATGATGTGTAGACAGGCATGCACCCATATACATAAAATAAAAACAAATTTGTTTTTTGATACAGGGATTCTCTGTGTACCCCTGGTGTGTGTCACCACTCCACAGTTAAAAATAAATCTTAAAAAAGGGGGTGGAGGGGAGAAATAGCTCAGTGGTTAAGAACACTAGCTGGTCTTCCAGAGGTCCTGAGTTCAATTCCCAACAACCACACGATGGTTCACAACCATCTGTAACAAGATCTAGTGCCCTCTCTGACCTGCAGGCAAACATGCAGGCAGAACACTGTAAACATAATAAATAAATAAATCTAAAAAAAAAAAAAAAGGCAGCCAAGAGGTGATGGTGCACACCTTTAGTCTCAGCACTTGGGGAGGCAGAGGCAGGCAAAGCTCTATGCATTCCAGGTCAGCCAAGGCTACATAGAGAAACCCTGGGGATGGGGGGGGGGTTCAAGCTCTGGTTGTGGCACACACCTTTAATTCCAGCACAAGGGAAACAAGCAGGTAGATCTCTGGTCTACATAGCAAGCTCCAGGCCAACTGGAAGCTATTTATTGATATCCTTATCTTAAAAGAATTTGTGGGCCGGGCATTGGTGGTGCATGCCTTTTAATCGGGAGACAGAAGCAGGACGAATTCTGTGAGTTCAAGGCCAGCCTGGTCTACACTTTTTTGCATGCTTTCTAAATTTTCCTGACAGATGCAGCACCCTTGGGAAATCTAAAACACCTTAGATTCTGACCAAACCACATCTCTTTTTCCAAAGGGGTGTGGAGGCTTCAAGCCTCACCCCAGCAGAGCATCAGTCCTCAATGAGGGCAAATCATACACAGCTTCTTCCAAGCAGGTGTTTTCTGACAGGACACAACTGAAATGGGCGCCAGGTCCCATTTAAAATAATGTGGTCATCTGCCCAAAGAAATATAATGTCCCTCTTCCTCCAATGTGGCACAATTAATATACTTAGGAGGCTCAAGCTCCAGGAAGACCTCCTGGGCAGTGGCACTGAGGACTTCCTCACATCCTAAGCTGCCCACAGAGCCTCCCCTGGGAGATCCTCACATGAAAGACAGAGTAACACTGGACTTTCTGCCCAAATCCAATGTTACTTATGAGTCGTGTACTTGACCTCTCTAATCTTAGTTTCCTCACCTGGAAAATGGGAACAATATCTACCTCACAACACAACATAAATTATCTGCCTTGAATTAAGAGCTTAATAAATGATACTTAAAATGTGTTGCCCACCTTAACAGCAGACTGAGCTAGGCCTATTTCCACAGCCTCGGGACATACTGTTTGTTGGCTTTACAAGTATAAAGGGAAAAGGCTTTGAGGAAAGTTAATTGAGGCAGTGTCAGATGCCAGGTTAAAGTTCATCTTCCAATCCTCAGATGAAAATCCATCACAGGAGCCAATTCTGTCATTCCTACTAGGAAACAAGGCATATTCTCACATGTGGGGGGCTCTAGATGACAAAGATGCAAGGCCTAGTTCTTCTCATTTCTTTACAGAGAAGTCTATCATTGATTCTGTAATTCTCATCTGCTCAATAGATTTCAATGTTTTTAACACTGAAAAGGATGCCTGATGAGAAGAAAACTGCAGATATCAAATGCCCATCATGAAAGTGCCAAGACCATGTGAGAAAACACACTTTGCCTCTTCACATGACACCATCAAATGCACACCATATACGCTGAAACAGCATCACTGTGTAAAAGTTCACTTCATAAGCATCCACAATACTGTCACTCCAACTTCCACGATTCATGTTTTGTGTGCTAGCCCAAACACCCCGGGGTAAAGACACAAGTGTTGCAACACCCTTTTGCCTTTCACCATTTTTCTCAATAGGTTCTCCTCCTTTTAGAACTTGGATTAATTATCACCCATCTCTACAATGGAAGTTTAGAACTTGGAAGTCCACAGATGAGCTGCAGAAGGCTCAAGAGCCTCCAGTAGCAACAAAATTCAGAGCAGCTGTGCATGCTTCTCAAAGGGAATCCATACTTTCAGATTCTCAAAGAGGCTCGTGACCTTCCAAAAACATTTTTTAAAAACTACCACAGCTGCATCCTAGACCATACTGGATCAAGTGATTTTCTCCGGTCCACCTGAGTAAAGAGACCTACAACCCCCTTCCGCCCCTCCCCACCAATAAAGGAGATAGGAGTAAGGATGGAACACAAGAGCTCCGAACGTAAAAGGCAAGCAAATCACCACTGAACTACAGCCCTAGACCAAGGGGGTCGGTCTGCCTTCTGAATCAAATTTTGCTAGGCATCTGACATTCCATCACCCACCTCATATGGCATACAAGGTAGACATGCTGATCTACCTTGATCCTAAGAACTCTAAAACTTAACAGAAAATACCAGACGACTATGGATACTTTTAACAACACAGAGAAAACAGAAACATTTCACCCAACAAGTGGTTGGTTGGTGTTTTTTTTTTTTTTTTTTTTTTTTTTTTCCCCTAAAACTCCTCCTCCCTGTCAAACTTAGGCTGCCCTCACTGGGGCCTCTAAGCCAGGCCTCCCAGGGCTTCCCACCTCACTGAGCGCAGAAACACAGCACCGAAATGCCCCGCTGACCAAGAATCTGGAAAGGAGCTGGCAGCATCAGGTGTTACGAGCAGAAACTCACATCTCCTGCTGCCCGAGACCCTCCTTCAGGTAAAGGCCAGAGGCTTCTCCTCCGCAGGCAAGACCTCAAGGTAAGCCCAGAGGCTCGGCTCCAAGCTGCGCGGAGCCGAAAACAAACTTTCCAGGCACTTCCACCCCGCCCGGCCGGG